AAGGCGAGGCTTCACCACCCATTTATCCCTCCGCCTTTCAACCAGCACCACATGTGATTATCGGCCAGGCTGGCACAATTAACTAACTCACCCCCAAAGCTGCTCTATTAAGCGAATGCTCCTTCTGACGTTGCCCACATTAAAAAACTCGTGTTCTCAGCCCCCGTCGCTAACCACGGTCCTTTAGAACGAGTGAGCCCACAGCCTCGCTGTCCCCTTGGACGGTGAGAAATGAATGAGGAGGAGCTTACACACTGCCTGCCCCTTTCAGGTCTGCTTGTTTCACGGACTTCTAAATACAATCGAGTTTTCTCGTTTCACGGCTTCTGGGAAACACGTGTTCTGAAATATTTTCAGTTCATGCTCTTTGATTTGTTCTATAGAGGTTGGGACTCTTGGGTTCTGTGGGAGCCAGGTGGTGGGAAATCCCTCCTAACATTTCTTCCCTTCATCAGGACCTGAGGGCCAAGGTCCTCATTCCTAGACACTAGAATTAGAGCTACTATTTCTTTAATATGGTTTCTGAATCAACTGCCACACGACAGAATTCAAACTCACCGCCCTCGAGTTATTGTTGACCCATAGTGACCCATAGTGACACCCTGTGAGTTTCTGAGAATGTGACGGTTTATAGGAGTAGAAAGCCCAGTCTTTTTCCCCAAGGAGCTTCTGTCGTTTTGAACTGCCAACCATGTGGACTGTAGCCCAATGCATAAAGCTTCTGGTGCCCTATGACAGGGTTTTCTTTAACTCTAAAAGTTTTCCAGTGATTCACCCAGATTTGTGGGGAGTCAAATTGGTGTACTTAAGTAGGTGAATGTGGAATCATGATGCCTCAGTTGTGGATTGGGATACTTAGGACTCTGGGCCTATCGACCATAACTCTATATGATAACACAGATGCAGCTAATTAAATTGTTGCAAGAACTAAAACTGACATCCGTGTGCAGATGTCAAAGTCCCGCAGGGAATGTCAGTAATGGCCGGGCCGTCACAGGGGCTAGTTGCGTCAGGTCAGGTTTCACGTAAGTAGTTCTACTGTAACTTTGTATCCAAAGCATTCATTTCTAATCCGTGTATTTGCCAGCATCCGTTGAAGTAAGTTTGAGTTGCCTGTCTGGTTCTACGAGGAGACAGAGAGGGTTTGATTTAAGAATTGTGTTGAGGGATTTTCTCCAGAAAAGAATTGTATCCTATACATGTCGTGTAGGCATCTTTGTCTGCACTTTTTGCTGACTTGCTCAATGCAGAAGACTGATAGGAATGATAGCACACGAGAAATCCTTGATTTCTACTGATAGTGATATGAGTCTCTGTGAAGGTGCCCTGTGCCGATGCCAACTTCCCATTAGCAGCACAAAAAGGTGCTCTTTTGGAAAGTTATGTAATTTTTAATTTACTCAAGGCAGCTGGAGTTTCGGTTTATCAAATGATGAGAATAAAGTTTTAAAAAAATACGCACGAATCGTGTTGAGCAATTGCCAGTTATCTATGGTCCTGTAAAAGAGTAGTTTAGAATGCAGACCTTGGAATACGTTCTTCCCCTGCCCCACTCCGCAGGACTCTGACTCTCACCTGAAGCAGGCGGCTAAGAGTCGGCTCCAGGGGGAAAGCGGGTTGGGCTCCCCGCACATTTTACTGGAGGCAGTCAGCGCACCCAGTGACTCACGTCTAGTGGGGGTCTTGCGAGTGGAACGCAAGAACCCTGTCCAGAGATGAACTGAAACCTGTGGGCACAGTGGTTTACTTTCACTTTTTCCCCCCTTCTTAGGAAAAGAAAATTTTCCAGATCCCCTGGATGCATGCGGCTAGACACGGGTGGGATGTGGAAAAAGATGCTCCTCTTTTTAGAAACTGGGCAATCCATACAGGTAATCAACCTCCTGCACTGTTGGTAGACCCAGGCATCGTTGTCTGTACTGTTTTGGACACTTACATGGTCTCCTGATTCATGGCTGCGTGAGGAGAGCTGTGGAAATCTGAGACTTAACCTTGGCAACAGCCAAGACGCGAGGGTACAAACTTCATCACTCACAAGCCATGCTCCTCACTTCCCATAGAATTTCAGCCCTTAGATTTCCTCTAAATGTGGCATTCTGGCAAGTCCCCCACACATATATCAGGGCAATTTATTTGGTTTTGAACCCAAATCTTCTGACCTTAACTTTAAGCTCATGACCTCCGAGTCAATTCAAATTTCTAGCAACCCTATAGGGTAGGGTAGAACTGCCCCATATGGGCTGTATATCCTTACGGGAGCACATAGCCTCATCTTTCTCCCAAGGAGTGGCTGGTGAGTTTGAACCTCCGACCTTGTGGTTCACAGCCCAATGAGAGTAGCCCACCACCCCGACAGAGCTCCTCCTTCTGTATCATTCCTGTTAATTCTCCATTCTTCTGCCACCATCCATTCCCCATGCTGCTTGCTGTTGCCAGAGTGACCAACATGTCTGCCCCACATTCTCTGGTCTAAAAATTAAACTTCTTGCATCCTGAGAAACCCATAGTCCTAGGCCCACTGCGAAGTGACCTTGGTTACTCTAGGTAGAGTTCGGAAGGGAAAGATTTCTGTGTACTATCTGCATCAGCAATCCCATTTCTCCAGAACTGTTTATTCCGTATCTGATCTCCACCCCCCGCCCCTCCCTTCTTAACCTTTGACTATTTTGTTAGGAAAGCATCAACCAGGAGTAGATAAACCCGATCCCAAAACATGGAAGGCAAATTTCCGATGCGCCATGAACTCCTTGCCGGATATTGAAGAAGTCAAGGATAAAAGCATAAAGAAGGGAAACAACGCCTTTAGAGTGTACCGGATGCTGCCCTTATCTGAACGACCTTCTAAGAAAGGTAGATAAAGAGGTTGCATGAATGCATATCAAAGTTCCTCCCCCACTTCTTGATCTCCACATCTGCCGGCAGCACACCTGTTCACCTGGTGTGTCTGCCTTCACCTGGCCAGGGAGAATGCCTTCCAGGTTACCCAAGACAGCGAAGGAAACCCTGGCAGGTTTGACGGTGTACTGATGAAAGCCTCTGGTTCTTGAAGGATTTCAGAAGCAGTTTGCCTCAGGAGAAACGTTTCTCAGGAATTAATCCACAACTCTTCTTTTGTCACCACAGGAAAGAAGCCAAAGACAGAAAAAGAAGACAGAGTTAAGCACATCAAGGTAATCTTTGGCTGCTCTTAGAGAAGGCCCAAGCTCTGAGCAAATGAATGATTCGTAGTCGGTTTCCAAAAGCCAGGTTGTGTCTCGGTGAGGTGTTTGATGGCGCTTCCTTTCTGATTGTGGTTTGTGTGCTTCCCATGTGACCACCTGCAGACACAAGCCCACATATCCCTTGTGTAGCCTCGTTTCACTGAGAAATGTATGAAGGACATCACAGATTCACGCCGAGCTCCAGCCTCAGGCCGTCTTCTGGTCCACCGTGATGGTGACCCACTGGTCACTTTGCTTCAGCTAAGCCCCAGGAACCAGCTGAAATGTAATCATATGAAGTATGTTTTCAGACTTTTAGATATGTTTAAAGTATATGAGATGTAATTATCATTTATTTGGTGTCTTATACACACACATACATATAGCGCATACACAATGGCAGGCTCTTAGATTGGGGCCAGAGTAGTCAGTGCAGCTTTGTTTGTTTTTAAAATTTTTATTGGAATATAAGTCACATATCATACAATTCAGTATCAAGAAGAGTTATATAATCACCACCACAATCCATTTTAGAACATGTTCTTCAATCTTGTACTCATCCTTATTAGCTCCCTATTTCTCCCCAACCTCCCTACCAGGCCCCCAAGGAACCATTAATCCAGTTATTGTCTCTGTAGATTTACCTAAGAAAGCAAAATAACTAACGACAATAACAACTGAAAACCTCAATTGAAAAAAAAGCAGAAAATATTAAAAATGAGAATAGACTTAAATGGATCATAAGGGAGATTCAAATGATATGGTGCTAAATTTTAACCCAGCATTGTAGGTATTTTATTGGTGTGGTTCTTAGCAGTTATTTTTCTGCTTCATTCTTACCACTCCTAAAAGTTTGGGGAGGTGTGTGTGTGTGTGTGTGTGTGTGTGTGTGTGTGTGTGTGAAAGAGAGAGAACGAGAGCATGTTTTTCAATAGAACGTATAGTCTGAACTCCCTCTTCCCTCACAGTTAACCCAGCTCAGCCTCCATGGTGTGAAAGGTTTGTGCTGTAGACTGGGCTTGTCGTTGTTGTGTGCTGAGAAGTAGATCGAGTAGCTCTACTAGTCAAATATCCTGGACAAAAATTTGAAGTGAACACAGTTGCCAGCACAGAGCAGCCGCTGTCGCCACAGACCTTTCGCCGCTCAGGATTCCCTCTCTTCTGCCTTGGGTTTGAAGAGGAAGAAACGGTGGCTCCCGACAGCCGAGTGACGGAGCCCAGGACCTCATAGTGATTTAGATCCACGCTGGCTCGGGACGCCGAGCACTCCAATTTTAGATGGTAAATGACTGCCGAAGCAAAGAACCAATCCGCCCAGAGAGCACAATGTTTGAAAACAGATCAAGAAGTTGACCGAGTGGGGGAAATGCAAAATGTTGTAGCTATTAAGTCAGATTTCTCAAGGCAGTTTGACTTTGAAGGAAAGCTAAGATAAATGGCTAAACTTTGAAGACATTTACGTCTATGATGGGAATGGAATATTTTAGGCAGAGTGTATTTTAGCACTGATGCCCTTGGCTTTATGTTTGACTGGTCTCATTTGTGTCTATTTTAATGATAGCATGGCATTAAGGTCTGATTCTTGTTTTAACTTTTTTGTGTGAAAGGTGTCAAATGTGTACAACTTAGCCTGTAGCCCCTCACCCCAATTCAATTAAAATTTCAATAGTAATCAGGTCCTGGGTGATGTGGCTCCATTAGATTCGTCACCTGCTTCCCTTCCTAGAACACGAAATTGCCTGTAGTCCATGATTTTTTACTTACAGGGATCATTTCTTATATCTTACCTCTACATTTTGAAGCCATGTCCATATATTGTAGCACCGCTTCCGTGCATAATTCAGCTTCTAGCTTTAAAAAATTTAAATAGCCCAGTGTCAGTATCACACTTGAAAATAATCAGAACTTGTTTAATGCCATCCAATAGCTAGTCAGTGTTCAGATATCCAATTGTTTTATAAATGTTACACATTTTTCCATTTGTCATTTGAATCAGGATCTGGTTAAAGTGCTGATCTTATAAGTTTGATATGTCTTTTCAGTTGTTGTTTTTTAACTTAGAGTTTCCCCCACCATCATTACATGTTTTCCCTCAGCCTAATCATTGAAAAAAGCCTAGTTGTGAATCCTATCATGATTCCAATACAGTTTGAGGTTATTTTAGCTGTACATATTGATTACTGTTACTGTATCAGAAAAACTATGGCTCCCCTCCTTGGTTACAATCCTTAGTGTGACAATATCACAGTCACTCTTAATTTCCCAACATGTAGCTCAGAGCTTGACCTAGAACAAGTAATTACTACATATTTAATCACTGAGTCCATGTGTGTTTGTGGTTTAAGGAGATGCATAAATAGATACAATATCTGGGGTGGAGGTGAGGGTTTTTACACTAGAATGCAGATTTAAGCTAAGAATCACCATGAGTGGAAAAATAAGAATAGAATCACAATAGATGTCCTCTTTCACCATATTTTACCCAAACATACCCACCATATGTCATTGGATGTCAGATGCTAGCCGTTAAGATGTCTGTTTTATATTGTTATACCTCACCCAGAAAGAAAAGCTACTTCCAATTAAACCATGACACACAATTGAAGCTACAGTATATCCTGTTTCAAGATTCAGAAATGTAAGGTCATAGCTGTCTTAGAGTGAGTGACGTGCGGTGTCTTTAGTAGAGGAATCCGCAGTCCTGCCCGCACTGGCACTGCCTTCCACATGGCCACACAGAAGAGCAAGATGTGGAAGGCACAACCCTCGTGGATCTGGCCACAGTGGCCCAGGGCAGTGAGTGGGAGGTTTCCTCTTGGTCACAACCTTGCAAGTCAACTTCCATCCCAGCCAAGTGCATGATGACAACATGGTTAAGAATCAGAGCTTGTCCCTCAGAAGGGTACCAGCAGAAGGCTGATTCATCACTAGTAAGTGAAGTCTACCTTTTGCTTATCTATGCCCTTGAATCAGTCCTGCAATGTAGGACTGATAAGGGACAACAGGGATAAGGCAGTTTCCAAATCTGCCATGAGTATTCAACCCTAGGGTTGACTTCATGTGTCTATGATTAATAAGCTATTTTTGCTTGTGTGTCTGAACACCTAACCTCTGAGTGAATGTGCCCCATGAAAATAGGTACCTGACCAGAGTTAATCTGTTTGGTGCATAGTTTCTTCCCCAGGGAACATTGGTCTGTGTCTAGTAAGTAAAGTATGAAAACTGGCTGCTTCCATGAGCGTGCCTCAAGTTGAATCGAAATTTTAGTTCATAAACAGTGTGTAACGTATGTGAGCAAAGGTTAGAATTTATTTTGGTCACTCAAACAATTTATCTCCATGCTAACTGCCCCCCTTCCCCTCTAGCAGTTTCCCTGAGCTTGGGGAGGCCCACAGGCCTGGATTAATTGTGGAGACTCGTGCCTCAGCATTCTAGAGCATGCTCCTTGTGACTCTGTTCTACCGTACTGAGCCCTGTGTTCCTTGAACTAGCCCTTCCTGTGTGCAGGCACCTGAGGGCAAGAGGACCAGGAACTCTACAGTGAGCACTGGTAGATCATTTGTCACCAGTGCACATAGGAGTTCCAAGAAATAATATGGAACAGATTCAGGCAAGGCCAAGATCAACCAGGATAACCCACTGCCATCAAATCAGTTCTGACTCAGAGTGCCCTTATGGGACAGAGTCGGACCGATTGTAGGTTTCCCAAGGCTATCAATCTTTATGGAAGAAGACGGTTTCACACCCCCCCCAACCACCCCAGGAGCTGGTAGGTTCCATCTGCCAACCTTTTGATTATAGGAGTCCATTGCTTATTCCACTGTGCCACCACAGGTGGTGGCACAACCAAGAGGTCACCCCTTGTCATTGGGTTGAGTTGGACTCCTCTGTGTTGCAGTGGAAGGCTTGCCAGGGGCTGATCTTGTGGGTGATCACCAGGCTTGTCTTCCACAGCATCTATGGGTGACTTAAACAGCCAACCCTCCTGGGGGTCAGTGACAGTTTTGAGCTCTGTGATGGGCTGGTTACCTCTCTTGCCTGTGAGGAAGCAGAGGTTCAGAGAGGCTGAGTAAATTGTCCAAGGTCACATTGCCGTCTGGAACTGGAATCTGAAGCAGTCGTTCCAATTCTAGGACCCACATTCGTTCACCATGCCTAGTGTCTCTCAGCCTTTCAGAGGTAGTGGAGCTAGACCTTGAAGAAAATGGTAAAGTGATACGGCTGTTTCTCTGTCCAGGAAACTCAATGAACGAAGGCTTGGTGGTTAGATTCATTATTTGTTCTTGTGCTTTACCGCACCAGTCAGGACAGTGGCCTCGTTAGAACAGGAGTTGGTGTGCGGTAGTGGGAAATGATGACATCGAGATGGCACTGGGTCACACATGAATATGCTCTGCCTCACACGGCTGTTTGCAGATGAAGCACACAGGCCTGGAAGCTTTCTAGGGCAACACATTGCGATGATGATGGAAAAGACAGCTGTGGTGGTTTCTACAGTTACTTGGTAATTAATAGACCTGGGCTGGATTGATTCTGAATGCAGCCCTATGGGCAGAAGCTGCAGGAAGACAGATATTGGCATAGTAGAGCTTCCTAATTGATCTATTGGCTCTAAGAGTGCTGGACCAAGAAAGAGCGTCCGCCTTGTCACCATGCAAAGATTGGCCCAAAGGACCACTGGTCAGGCCTCCTAGGGGAGGGATTCCCCTCAATGGTTGGAAGATATCTCTGGCGAACTAATGCTCATTAGCTGAAAGCACATGCTGTCACCCTCGTGGCACACAGCTCCACCGAGCAGTGCCCTGGATGAGGTGAAGGAGCAGGTTGGCCCTGTCGTCTCCTCTTCTCCTTACGGCAGAGCTGGAAGGCACAGTTTAGAGCAGTTGAGGGCGGGTCCGCTCAACGACCTCTCGCTGTACGTGTTGTGGTTCGCTGTCATCTAGTCTGCCCTGGACGCGACCCCCTGCGATACAGCTATTCCACCCAGAGGTTGCATGTCTTTATTGGCCGTCAGCTTGACGGAAGCAGATCTTTTGTGGAGACAGGTTCAAACAACTGCCAACCATCTGCTTAGCAGCCAGTTGCAACCTGCTTGTGCCACCCAGGCTTCTTAAAAGGCCTCTATGGGGTGATTTTAGGTGCTCTAGTGGCATCGTTGGTTATGCATTGGGCTGCTAACCAGAAGGTCAGCTGTTCAAAACCACTCCACAGGAGAAAGAGGAGGCTTTCTACTCCTGTAAAGGGCCCTCAGGGTAGTTCTGCGGTGTCTGACAGGGTTGCTAGGCGTCAGGACTGACTTGATGGCAGTGAATTAAGACAGGGATGATTTTAGGAAAGAAGACCCGTTTCGGACTTCTTGGAGCAAGTGCAGAAGGCAATGGACTAAGTCTCTAAGGAGGGGCGTTCTCACCATTGGTGGGCACGAAGAGATGGAGGGGAGGACACGTTGCCTTGGCAAGTGGAGAAGGATGCGGAGAAGGAAGACCGAGGTGGATCCAGAGGACAGCCTGCATTTCAGACCTCAGACAGAGGCATGCTGGGAAGAGAGCTTGCTTTGTAGAAAAGAGGTTGAGTTTAACGTTGAAAACACTGACATTGGAGTGGCAGAGAGCACATGCTGACTAGACACTTAGACCCAGCAGGCAGAAAGCTCACGCACACGTTGGAGTGACAGGTGCATGGCCATTTACTCCTGAATGATACTCGGGGTTCGTGAAAACAGATGGATTTTGAGTGAAAGAAGCTATACGAGATGAAAACCCCAGATAAAGGAAGAGAAAAGTGATCCCCGGAAAGGCCAAGGGGCGTTCCAGTCGGAGCCTGAGAGCGAGAATGCAGACTAGTTCTGGGAAAGGACAAGCAGGGACGGGGCCTTGGATGAAGGCTTCCACCGGTCTTACTCGGAACACATCTCAATGGCACTCCTGGTGTCCCATCCCCTGGGCTGCCTTCCAAAGCGGGGCGTCTTTAAATTACGGACTGGTGCATCTTGGGGGATGAGAGTCATGAGTCTGGGAAGGGAGATGATCGCAAGGCCGCAGTTTGGGACCCGAGGAAGGGAATTCTAGATGAGAGGCTGTGGATCAAGGATGAGACAGGAGAGGCTGCAGGTGGTGTGAAGGACCCGCTGGAGAGGCTCTCTGTGGCCCTCAACTTTTGAGACCAAATCAAAGGTGTATTCTTTTAGCAGTCTAAAGGAATTACCCCTGCCCTTAAAAATCACCTTTGTCACACGCAAGTTGCGTTTGCCACAAAATCCCTAGACCAAATGTTGGATTCCATAATGGTGGATCAGGTCCATCCGCATACGTAATTTGGCAAGGCTTATGCGCTATGACGGAGCCTGACTCTAAGCCCAGTCTTTTTGTTTTGTTTTGTGTTCGTTTCTTTGGAGAGAGACAAGAGAGTTAGAAACCCAGAAGGTGACCAGAACCCAGCTGCTGCCGTTGCTGTTGCGACGGCTCTGACTCCGGGGTATCTGAGTAGAACCGTTCTCCGCAGTGTTTTTAGTGGCTCTGGCCATTTGGAAGTAGGTTACCAGGCCTTTTTCTGAGGTGCCTCTGGGTGAATCTGAACTGCCAACCTTTGGGTTTCGTGTTGAGCACTTAATTGTTTTATGCCATCCAGCAGAAACTCCTGTATCTCCAGCCAGAAAGAGAACAGAAAGGAAGGCATGGCTCTGGATTAACCAGGCCAGGTTAGGGTGGTTACAACAGGGCAAGAGGCTGTTGGGACAGGGCAAAAGTGGGGCTTCATAGGGAACCAGGAGGGGCTGTGGGTAAAGGTCATTCCTGACCCTCGGGCAGAGCTCATGTTGCATAGAACAATACACCATGCTTTCTTAACTTGGATCCCTTGATTTTATCTTAGTAGAGTTTAGGTTAGAAGCCCGAGTTCTGATCATTTCAAATATTTGAATGGCGTGCAGGGACGGGTCTTCTCTCAAAGGCCTACCCTCTGGGCCCTTGCTACAAGGGAGAATTCAAGGAAGCACTGGCTACGCTTTTGTTGTTGTTTACAGTTTTCTAGATCCTCCTTCGGGAATGATCGTATCAATGAGGTGTCTTGCCTTGAAGACCTTGAGACGGACAGTTTCCTTGGGGAGTAGAACAATGACCTTCATCCCCGTGGGCAGCATGCTCTGTTCTATCAGGGTGCAGGTGCTTATTAAGACAGGAAGTCTCTGGACCTCACGGGGTTCAGTGCTTGTGTCTCCTCAGGCCAGGAGTACTGTCATCTTGGAAAATTAATTTCGTCTCTGAATCGTAGTTTTCTCAGTGGAAAGTGGCAACAGCTCCACTTGCAACTAATTAAACTGAAAATCATGTGGAACACGTCGAGCTCTTTCACTGAGAAATTGGAATAACTTCACTTGGGCTTTTGAATGTCTGCAAGGCTGACGGCTTTACTAGTTCTGAGACACGTGGAAACAGCATGAGTGAAATAGAACTTGGGACAGAAGAGACACTTCGATATGAGTAGTCTTCCAGAAAGTCTTCAAATGGTCCTGCATTCAGTTCCTTTCTGAATCACCAACAAAATGGCCGGGCATGGTGGAAGGGGAAGTGAAATAATGAAATGTGGCCATTGTGGGGGAAGCGGGCCCAAGAGAAAGGCCATTGAGGAAGCCCATCAGAGAGCTAACCGTGATCGGAGAGACAGAGTTGCAACAAATCCCATCACACAGAATTCAGTCTGGGCAGGGAGTTACAGGGGAGAGTTGGTCTTCCTTACTGGTGTCACAGATCAGGCAAGGGGGCTGAGCAAAGGTCGTTGGATTTGAGAGAGCAGGGTTTTGCCGGTGTTCTTTGGTAGAAGCATGCATCCTTAGTCTTAGTGCCAGGCATATATTTATCTGATCTTTACACCCTCCCTCTGCCTGGATGCGATTCTTGTCCTCACTTCAAAGCCCCTCACCATGTCCACCGAGTGGTAAGAAGGTTAAACAAGGCCCCCTCACGAGTGGCAGGAGCGCTGCCCTTTGTTCCCAGCCCCCTGGGGGCTCCATTCTGCCCTCAGAGTGGACATGAGACAGCCCACGATGCGAATGGGAGTTGGGGAGGAGGTGAAGCTAGAAAGGTCTAGAACTGGCTCATGAGTCTGGTCATAATAAATGGTCGCTCAGGTCACAAATGATTCAATCTCCTTCCCCATGGCGAGGAAATCTGGTTTCTTATTTGGAGTTCCCAGAAGAGGGAAAAGCGCAGAATGCCGCGAGGGAAAGGGTCAGCGTTTTTTGTTCAGTGGGGTGGTTCTGGTCCCTTCCTTATGCTTGACCTTTGGAACATCTCGGAGAGCATGCGGTGGGCCGTGTGTTTCAAAGAACGGAACTCGATGGTGGAGGGATGTCTTTGCAGTCAGGGTTCTCGCGGTGGGTGGGAATGCCCTCATCCTAACATGTCCTGCCACGTGGGATCTAGCAGGAGCAGGTCATTTCCCCACAGGGGTACTTTCCTATAACTTATAGATACACAATTGATTCCAAGTAACAAGTTGATAAAAAATGTTTACATACCTTCTAGTTGAATACCATTCTTAATATTCTGCCTTATGTGATCCGAGTCCTGTGACCTTCACCCGCTCCGCCCTCTTCTGCCGTTTTGGCTTCCCCACGAGTCATCTTGCATGGCTTTTTGTGTCTCACCTGATGTTTTCTGAAAAGTATATGCAATCTGACCATGAGGAAAAGTTCTCAAATTACTCGTACCCCAGGGCTGGCGCTCTTAGGGAGAGTGAAGGAGACTTATGCCCTTAAGTAAAGCAAACTAACTTTACAGCTCTTTTGAAGTCAAGGAATTTGTCTTCACGGTCTCGTTAGCATGAATGTGTAGCCTCTTGGGCCGGATGAGGGACTCAGGTACTTGAAAGGCATGTATGTATAAAGGCTGGGGTGTGGGGTTGTCTGGCTGGTCCCCATCCAAGCGAGGGAGAGTCCAGTTGTGAGGGTGGCCTGTGCTATCAGCTAGTCACCCAATGCAGAGCCAGTGGTGGTAGCAACCCCCCCCTGAGGAAAATTCAACCACAGTTTCCTCTGGATCCCTATGTAGGTGGGTCCGTTGGTGAGGCAGAACATTTCCTAAGAAATAATAGCAAAAGTGGTGCTGTGATTCCTCCTGAGAGAGTCTACAGTTGGCTCTTGTGAGCACGTCGTCTAGAATGTAGCCAGTGCAGCACTTCGCCGAGACAGGCGGTCCTGCTTCTTGCCAAAGCTACTGTCTGCAGGGGTGAGCATTTGCAAAGGCAAGCCAGCTGCTGGGGTTCTGTTTCCCCGAAGGGAAATGAAAGAAGTGGAATCCCCAGCCCGGGCACGGGCAGACAGAAACGGACCCATTAGCTCCAGGCTAGTATAAGGAAGTAGGGGATGCAGTCGGTAGCGAGAAGTCGACCCCAGCATTCAAAAAGTAAGCCAGTGGAATTTAAGCAACGAAAAGGGAGGGAAAAGAAAGTGTTCTCAATTCTTTTTTCTTTTCTTCTTCCTAGCAAGAACCAGTTGAGTCATCTTTGGGGCTTAGTAATGGAGTAAGTGATCTTTCTCCTGAGTACGCGGTCCTGAATTCAGCTATAAAAAATGAAGTGGATAGTACGGTGAACATCATAGGTAAACTGTTTTGACATCTCATTTTTTTTCTAAATGCACACCCTGGCCCCCAGGGGTCTGGAATTTGTACAGCAGTGATCCTGAAACAACAGTCAGGGAATGGGAGGAGTGTTGGAACCATCTCAAAATGCACGTTCCGGACCCAAATTTCAGGGCTGAAAAAATAAAGGCCTTTGAGGATCAGCTAAAAAAACTTGGATGTGTCCGCCTGGAGAAAAAAAAAGAAGAAGAAGAAGGCTGAAAGGATGGTTTCCCAGCAGTCTAAGTGGAGGAAATGCCTTTTTCCCCAGCGTCTAGTTATTAGTGATGCTCCATCTTTTTCCAATATTGGGTTACATGAACCAATGTGTTGTGCATCGAACCCGGGCCCCACGGAGATGGGAGACACTGCATGAATTCTGTGAGCCCCTGTTTATTCTGGAGCAGGCTTGCGACCAAGGTGGGACTCATGTCACAGGTAAAGAAACGGAGGCACCAAGTCCATGTTGCCAAAGGGCACAGTTTGCTTCAACAGCTATGTCTGAGTCCCTTCCGTCAATGCCGTGCACTTAGGCCATGGACAGGAGATGGAGTGCGGAATGAGGTAGAGCCGACTCCTGCCTCATGGAAGGGGGCAGGTAGCAAACAAAGCCACAAGTTGTGGAAGCTTTACCCATTGTGATAAGAGCTGCCAAGGAAACAAGAATGACCAGGACCAGATTTAGACTGGGAAGGCCACGGGGCCCCTGTGAGGAGCGACAGGTGACTTGTGGGGGCAGGCAGTGGACTTGGGAGAGCAAAAGGAGGGGCAGTGTGGATGAGCACGGTGCCGGTGGGGAGCGTGAGCCTCAGACAGAAAGGGAGGCAGGGACGGCTCGTACAGGCCGTGGAGGTTGTGGGAAGGAGGTTGGTTTCGTGCCAAGTGATATGGGATTGTTTAAAAAACCTTTTTATATAGCAGTGTGTGCCAGGAATTGGCCTGCTAACTACAGCGGCAGCAGTTCCAACCCACCAGCTGCGCTGAGGGAGAATAATGAGGCTGCCTGCTTCCCATACAGATTTGCAGTCTCCGGAACCCTCGATAGCGTCTCTGCATTGGAAGGGACTCGATGGCTGTGGGTTTGTATCAGGCAGACAGTAAAGGGCACAGATGTGCCTCACACTCACACAGTTGTGACTGCCGCTCCATGAGAAGTGAAGGCAGCGAGTGCCGGCCTGTGAATCACATTGTAATCAGCTCCCCCTGGGGGGTTGTGGTGAGTGACTAGTGGGGCCCTGGTAGAAGAGTCGAAGCCTGGCATTGAACTTGGATTAACTCTAGATAGCCCCTACCCAGAACGGGGCTTCTTTGCCTGGACTCCCTTTTGAGTGAAATGTTGCCTATTTTGTAGGTAATTGGGGATTCTGATTTCCGAGGTTAGGTCAGTCGGAGGAGAACCAGCAAGATCATGCCCAGCTAGAAAAGCAAGCCTTGTGTTTGGGCAGTTCTGGTTGGGGGGGTGTGCTGACCACAGGCGTTAGGTGTTAGTGCCTTGTAGCCTGAGTGAATGTTGAGTGCGCATAGCCCTTCTCGCCCTTCAGTTTTGGCCCAAGATACCACCTAGGCAAAAAGTACATGCAACCGTAGCAGAAAGAAGCAGAAAGCATATATATGGGGTGCCCACTGTATATCAAGGCAGATTGGGCCTTGCTTTGCTTCCAGAGCGAACATGTAGATGGGACCCATTTGCACGAGAAGTAGTTTGCTCCACAATTGGTTTTCTGAGCTGAGAAGGGTCCTACACATGAAGCACTCTGGGTGCTTCTGGATGAAAGATGGGGAGCAAGATTACTTGCCTGACAGACACCCCAACTTCCAAGTCTTCTCCCCTTTGACTCTGTGGCTGTTTCCATTGCTTGAGAGATCTCCTGGCCTCCTTCACCACCCTCCTGATTCTTTATCTTACCTTGCTCAGCAGACACCCCTGGCACAGTGTATGCTCACTGAGCCTTTAAGAAAAAGAAAAATGAAGTTTACCAGAACATCAGACTCTTTTCCTAAGATTCAGCTTATTGTGAGTGAGTAAGTGGTTTTTGGAGTTTCCTTCTGTGTATGAAGTTGAACTCAGCCTCAGATAAAATGCCAAACCAAAGCCTCAGTTGTCCCAGAGTTTTGTTTGTTTTTTAGGAGAAATTCTGTTTGGGCTTTCACTATAAAAACTCTCTGTCCAGTTCAGTGTTCCTTGCCCTTTTGTATAATTGGGGCTGCCGGGAGCTGGCGCTCATTTAATGAGTCATGATCTTCCTCTAGGGCCAGGGAAAACCCCAGGTTTGGATGGGGAATCATCAGGTGGATTCTTGTTAAGTTTACGAAGGAATTTGTAACAAATGGCAGCACAATGAGTAGGAATATCTCTGTAGTTAACTAGTGGGGACCCTTAGGAAGGGATGCCATTATGTATAAAATAGATATGTACAATATTTTAGAGAATTGGGTAATTTGTGATCATTGATAATAGTGATGCTTTGGACTGTTAAGCCCATTCACTGTGAGATCATTAATTAGCTCTCTCTCCCACCACACCCCCACCCCATCTTTGCAGTTTGTGGATAGAGATGAGAAACCACAGCATCTTCCTTCGAAGGCCTCTGGAATCTGAGATTGTTTTTGTCCCTCTTGCTACCTCTCAAAGGGGCTTTATTTTAAAAGGACACCGCTCTTTGCTTTCAGCCCATTTATTTCTAAATCCAGATCGGAGTTTAGTTTTTTTATTTGGGCCCCGAGATGGAAGCCTCAAGGAATTTTCATCCTACTTTTATAAGCAGACGTTTATAAGCGTAACACTGAGGTCAGGAGCGCGTTCTTCACATTGTCTGTAGACTAGGGAGTGGGTGAAATAGATTGAAAAGAACTAATCCAGTGAAGGCCAGCTCCGAGTAGATTTTTCACTCTGGTTAGGGTTCGCTCTTTAGTCAACAAATTCAGTAAGTGGGAAACAGATGACATAGGCTGCTGCCTGGCCTGATTGCTGGTTTGTTTACTGTGATTCTTGCCACCCCGACAGCAGGACACACACACACACACACACACACACACACACATACACACACCCACACCCCC